AATTTCAATTAGATAATCTTTATTTATGGCAATGCCTTTCCCTTAGAACTGTGCTAGAAGGTTAGAAATCTATTTTACTTTGAATAATGCCCCCCAGTGGCACAGCGGTATGTCTGCGGACTTACTACGCTAGAATCCGGGTTTTGATACCCGTGGTGGGCAGAGCACAGGTAGCCCACTATGTAGCTTTGTGCTAAATTAGAAACAAAACAAAAAACTTTGAATAATAAGTCTGAAAACAAAATAATAATTTGGTCAAAGATCATTGAAAAATATTAATAGTTTCGTTTTGAGTTTACTTACTGATTAAGTATTATTTTATTACAAGTTACAGCTTTTATAGTAACTTGTAATAACATAATTGACAAATATTGTTTAGTGGACGACGGCTGAAGATATGATAAACAAAACACTATACTTTTATACTTCTCTTAAAGAAACCATTAATAAAGCAACAGATTCGTGATGTATTTCACTCCAACAGGATTGTTCTTTTTTGCTTCTGATAATGTTTCACTTCAACAGGATTGTTCTTTTTTGTTTCTGATAATGTTTTCACTCCAACAGGATTATTTTCTTCTAAATATAATAAATGACATTAAGAAACATCTTATTTTGAAATATTTAAATTCAATGATGAAAGATGTATTTGATTGCCTAAATAACCTAAAGGATTCTGTTATATGTACTTATTGCTATAAAGTTCATAAGGAATATACCTAAAGCATTTGCTTTACCATCAATCAAACGTAGGGTGTTTCCATCGAACGTTTGAATTCTTTTATTGCTAGAATAGGCTTATAAAGCGTGATGATGAAAGTATGCAAGAGACTAAAGGAATGCTCACAAAATGTAAATATGTAAGTAATGTTATAAAATACTTTCAGAGACATGAAACTAGAGGGTGTTTAATCATGCCAAAGGTTTGTTGAGCAGCTAGATATAAAAGCCTAGAAAAAGACATGTTGAGCTTTCTAACCGTTTTTCATTTCAAATATAATATAATATATTTCAAACTTTCCTTTTATAATCAAATATGTTTAGTGTCGGAAACGTATTATTGAAGAGCTATGAAGTGTTTGTTTCTCAGACGTATTGTTTCAAATATGGTTAGAACATTATGTAGAGTTTATTCATTCTTTTTCGCTAGTTTATATGTATATTCCAACATTGTGATTAATTCATAGTCTGCTGATAATAAAATATTAACACTAAAATCACATTTCAGTTAAGACCACATAACGTATGAGAACAGTAGAAACCAAGTGAATTATGTAACCAGTGAAAAAATATTTAATAAGTTATCAAATAATTTACAAACTGCTACGTTGTACCAAAATATATTTCATCAGTTTGTTTTAACAAAGATAATTTCTGTATTTTTGAAGATAACGCAAAAACATTAAAAATCAGAAAACATTGTATGGCGAACTACTCCTTGGGACTGTAGATAGACTAATGAGTTGATAAAAGTTTGGGAAATTCTAGTTTTTATTTAGAGTGAAGTAGTGTATTTGCACCTATCCAGTCATACATACATACTAGTTGTAAACGTATTTCACGAACTCGTTTAGAATTAAAACATGAAATTTTGTCTTTCTTAGATTTCTTACTAATGTTTTTAATGAACTGATCGAATTATTTTAAAAGACTAAACGGAGAACATTAAAACTATATTTTCTTCCAACGTCCTTTTTTTATCTACCATCATTTCTGTCAATTATCATAACGAAGTATTAGATACTGTGTTAGGTAAGTTCACGATCTGCATCAGTAGAGAAATTAAGAAAAGCTTCTTCTACATAAATTTGTAAAAATATTCAGATAAGAGCATGATCAATAAACTCGTAATTCATTATATAAGTCTTGAGGTAAAATAGAACAGCCTAGAAACAATTATGAAGCAAACAATCCTGTGTTAAAGTTTCTAACTCAAGAGCTCTAGTTTCACATCTGTGTTTTTCCCATGTTATTTGTGCGTACATCGTAATATAATTTTTTTTCTTGAGTCCGCTTTTTTCTTCTTTTTAAAGTACTGGCACGCGATCTAATCTAAATAATACAAGTACTCACCGTATGAAAGTATATTATATTGAATTCTTATTACAATTCTATTAAGTACCTTTTCTATATCAGATCACGCTTTGTAGCATTTTATCAAGCTTATTTGGGGTTTCTCTTCCGAATCTGTTTTATTCAAGCAAGTAAGTAGCAGCTCGACCGAGATAAGGACTTTTATAGCAAAATTAATTTGAAAACACTCTAGATATGACTTTAGAAGGCAAAAGCAAGTCCACTAAAGGTTACCTACTCCAGCAGTCTCTAGTTTTAAACTTATACACTAAAGGTTACCTACTCCAGCAGTCTCTAGTTTTAAACTTATACACTAAAGGTTACCTACTCCAGCAGTCTCTAGTTTTAAACTTATACACTAAAGGTTACCTACTCCAGCAGTCTCTAGTTTTAAACTTATACACTAAAGGTTACCTACTCCAGCAGTCTCTAGTTTTAAACTTATACACCAAAGGAAAGGTAGTTAATCAACGGTTCCCACCGAATAGTGGGATATGATCGACACTCTTATTACGCACACACACACAGCCCCTACAAAATGATGAGCGCGGTTTTGCTTCAATGGGACAGGAGCCACGGACCTTCGGATCTACAGTCCCGCACGCTAACCAACTGGCCACAAACAATAATTATTAAACAATTAACAAAACTCTTTCACTAATATAATGTAACAATAAAATCTGAATTGGAAATAAATTACTTCGTAAAGTTTTCCTCTCACTTTCCATATCTTTCATCATTATAAGAACTTATTAATGCCCACAATGTTGGTGTGTGATTTATGACACACACAAAATATTGAGTATAAAAAATTTTAAACAGAAAACGTAATTACTTACCGTAAAATATTAGATGAAAGATTTAATCGATTGTATTTGCACTGTATATTTTGTGCTGTCACAGATGTGGAGCGGCATTGTGTTTCATCTCCGTAAAGTATTCGTCTTACTCATATGATAAAATTCCACTAGAAAACGATACTACATATTTCTGCTGGTAACAGAGAATTGACGGACGAAATGAATAACACATATTTTGTGAACGTGATTCCATGTATAAGAACGAGTTTCCAGTTGTGATCCTCCCCCACCACACCTAAATTCAAATAATAACTCTCATTCGATATAAGGAACAAATATGATTAAAAAATAAGAATCAGAAGAAACCAGTATGTAATTAAAATATCATCTACTGTCATTCATTGATAAAATGCTATTCGATTCGCTGCGTTTTATATTAATATTTTTTCTCAAGTAGGTGCGAGGATTTTTTTACTTCTCACATCGCATAGTTTGCATATAATAAAAAGCACCAGTCAATTGTGCTCTACCTGTCAGAAACTATATGAAAATTATTTCACTGTAGTGTTCAGACGATCATGAATACAGATAAATAAAACTAATTAAAAGTTTAACGAAGGTAAACATATAAAAGTCAGCAGTCTAAACTTAAAGTATATAGATAACGAAATACGTATGTTAATATCCAGCTAACATATGCTTTTAAAAAGTTTAAAAGGTCTAGTTTTATAGCCTTTACATATATATGTATATTCTATTTTTAAATGAAATACTACTGATCTTAAAAAATAAGAAATATTCCATTACTAAAGCTAAATACTTACTGAAAAAAATTTCTCTAGACAAAGTTAACTTCTCTTATTCATGTGTAATAGTTTGGAGAATATATTTCGTCTACCGCAGGTAAAGGACCCTTAAAATTGGATACGACCTTTTGTCTACTACATGTAGAGGCCCCTTAAAACTGGATACGACCTTTGGTCTACCATAGGTAGAGGCCCCTTAAAACTGGAAACAATCTTCTGTTTACCACAGGTAAAATTACGTCTGTTAAACCTGGAAACTACCTTCTGTTTACCACAGGTAAATGAAGCCTGTTAAAACTGGAAAATATCGTCTGTTTATTACAGGTAATTGAAGCCTGTTAAAACTGGAAATGACCTTTCGACTATCAAAGGTAGAAAAGGCCAGTTAAAACTGGAAAATACTTTTAGAACTATTATACATGAAAAAGTTTGTAATAGTCGGTTTGACAAGCCTTGAAAAAAAAAAGCAAATCTACAAGTGTTTATAATAAGTTTTTTGCTTGTTTCTGTATACACCTTTACGCTTTTCTCAGTCATAAACCCAAGTATTAGCACAAGAAAGGATAATTTTGATTTATCTCTGATAGACTGAGCTAGTTGCAAGTGGAGTTAACGTTTCGAATTACTACACGTGAAGGAAGCTATTTACCACTTCTTGTTTGTTTTGAATGATACTTAATACGCTCTTCTTGATATATTATGTCCTCAGTTCCAGTAGAATTAAAACAGCGATAAAGAATACGTTTCGTAGCTATCAAATCAGCTTTTTCTAAAAGATCTGATGCACGCAGAATAAAATAAAGTTGCATCACTGTAAAAAAAAAAAAATCGATTCTTGTAATAGTAAACAACAGAAATCCTTGATAATTCAGAACAGTTTTAAAGACGTAGTTGTTAAACTTTGACTGAATTGGATAAAAGTATTTTAATTTTATTATATAATAATTCAATTAAATTAAGTTAAAACATTAATTAATGGACAAAATGTATTCCAAAAGATTGCCCCCCCCCCATTTGGGACAGCGGTAAGTTTACGGACTTACAACGATAAAATCTGGGGGTTATATTCTCGTGACGGGCACAGTAAATAGCCCAATGACGATTTGCTATAAAACAAACCCAGATATTGTTTTTGAATAAATATTTAGAAATTTAAGTGTTTGTTAGAGTATTTCCTTCCTTTATCAACAACTTTTTAAGATCATTCGATTTTATTAAGTATGATTCTGTATTCCATAAAAAGTTACATTTGTTCATGTATGTTGCGTAGATAAAAATGATAATCTTCGTCTTACGAGTTGAAAATTCTTTGTTATTTTAGACAGAACAGCTGACGTTTCTATGGATTCTCTTCGTCATGATCGTTTTGGGAAACGGGTGTGTTTTGGTGGCGCTGTTGTTGTCTAGCAACAGGAAATCCCGGATGAACTTCTTCATAATGCACCTGGCCATAGCAGGTGAGGCTTGAGTTAATGAATAAGCTACATTTGGCTGAACTGTCGAACGATAAGATGATGACGGCTCATTATTATATATCATTTTAGAGTTATTAGTCTCAGAAATGGCACAGACACTAGGTCCATAAATATGTCACGCTTTTTAACATGTTTAATATAAAGCACACCTCAGAATAACTGAAGTTAGTGATATGTTAGTTTAATCTTTGTCTTTAATGTCATGTGTGTTTTTAGATGAAACTGAAATACTCTTCTTAACATATTCGTCTTTTTATTACAACTTAGAAGATTAGCCAAACAGTATGATATAATACATTCTAAATTAAAATCAACTCGAAAAAGCTAATCAAACTTAAATAACAATAGTTCTATATACAACTTTAAAAACGTTTATGATTGTATTTTCACATCGCTGAATTTAGTACTGTTAAGACCTTATACACAATAAGTATATAAAATTTAACTCGAATGTATATCTCAATAAATTTACAAATATTCCACAGTGGGACACCGGTAAGTCTACGGACTTGCAACGCTAAGATCCGTTGTTCAAATGCCCACGATGAACACAGCAGATAGCCCAGTGTGGCTTTGCTATAAAACAAACAAGCACAATGTACATATATAGTACGTTACACCCATTTTCATCAGTATGTGTGTGTGTGTGTTAAAGTGTAAAATTTTCATTACAAGAAAAACTTTATTTCAGGACTTGTTAGATAATACACATTCACACACACGTATATATATATATATATATATAAAGTAAGCCGAGTCGTCTCTATCCTCTGATATTCTTGTAGCTTTCACTATCTACATTCCCAAATGGCTTCTTATCTCGTCACTCCACCTTATGACTGGTCTTCCTGTTTCCCTCAACACTTCATTCCGTGATGTTTTTCTCCAAGCAGGTTCCGTCTCTCGCGATGTGTTCAAATTATGACAGTTTCTTATTAATGATATCTTCCAACGATCTTTTTTCACAACCCATTTTCTTCAGAACCTATTTATCAATTTGTCCTCTCAGTCCACGATACTCTCTTGACTTTCCTTTAAAGAGTAGATGAGATCCTAGTAAGCCAGCGACCATCCTCAGTTGATAAGGACCTGGGAACCCCACCGTATTATCTATCTCACGGAATCACTGTGAACCAGGAACAAAACTGTTAAATAATGAGTAGTAGTAGTTTTTTCAGGTTTATTTCTATTGTTGACAATACTATTGTTGACAGAACATGTATTATATTTGCTAAAAATTATTTTCATAATTTATCCACTTCGCGGAAAAGTTTCCATGTCTCGTGCAACCAAGTACAGAATTACAACAAAAGATACGATGGTTTCACTCAAAAAAAAACTGATAGATCATATTAGATTTTGTATCTTTTCACGAACCAAAAGTACTCAAATAAGAACAAAATGTCTGACTTTAAAACAAAAGATACCTGAGAAATATAGTGGTGTTTTTTTTCCCCAGTATGAATGAAACAAAAAACATCTGCACTTCACACTTCTAATGCGAAAATGATTATAGGGGCTACCGCGTCTCTCTCTCTCCCTTCTCCCCAAATAAAATGGGATTTACTTCATAACAAATAAAATCTCTAAGTACTTTTTCATTCTTAAGGTTAAAATATGTTTATAAATTAACCACTGTTCAATTTCTTTTGAAATATTTTTAATCAAGATATAAAAGCTAATTAGCATATTTTATTGTAGTTAAGTTTCTTTATATCAGTTAAAAATTATACTTTCTTGTTGTTTGTTTGAAGTTAAGCACAAACTACACAATAGGTTATCTGTGCTCTGCTCACCACGGATATCGAAACCCGGTTTTTAGCGTTGTAAGTTCGCATACATATCGCTGTGCCACTGGGGGCTACTTTCTTGAATTATATAAAAAGAAAACTAATAATTGGCTCTTCTCTATCCTAGCTTTACTAAATATTTTCCAACCTATTCTGTGAAATAAACAAACATAGTTTCCATAAAATAGCTGTCTGCATAGTTATAGTTTTAGATTTATTTAGAAAGCAGGTGTTTCTTCTTGTATTACACTCGAGTATATGATTGATAGAAACATTTAGTTGTTAATTTTCGTTTTGTTCTTTACTCTTTAGCTTCATTAATATTATATTTCATTATGAAAATTAGACCATCAGTGCACTTAGAAATTAGAGCAACCGGATAATATCTATAGCGTTATAGCACGTTTCTGCTTGTCTTCCATAAATACTCAAAGTTAATTAACTCCCCTAGTGTATTATCTACCAAATGGGCTATTCTGTCAATATATTGTAGAATCATTAGAATTTAAAGCATATTTTTTGGTTAATATATGTTTATCTTATACGAAATATCTTACTTATAAACACAACAGTATGTTTGAAAAACATTTTTTAATGTTCAGACGCATCAGGTGTTTAATACCTCTGAGCTAAGTGTGTAACGTGCAACAAAAGTTTTGTCTCAATTCCCAAGAACATCCAATAATAGCGTATAAAACTAGATTTGTACTTAAGTTTCTGACGTAAAAATACAAAATAATAATAACAATAACCTCCGTAATATTCCCATGCAAGGATTGTCACGGTTTGATATTACACATAGAATCATTCATACAATTAATATGTGAACAGTTAGACTGTGAAACCTGAGAACACCGGTTATCAGTTTAAACGATTGTCTTTGTGTTCTATGATTTATAAGTAGCATGTAAGACTTAGCTACAAATTTAAAATAAACAGCATCTGCTCTACTAGCATCATTATAGGTAATTTTCAATGCGATGTGAATTAAAATATTTCTTTGCACTTAATAGAACATTTTCGCATAGACGTTTATGGTTTTCATAGAGCCTTAGAAGATGTACATATATCTGGTAAATTCCGCGTTGTTTGAACATGAAAATGTAATATTTTTCAACATTTTAGTAAATAAAATAACCAAATTTCTATATGAATTATTTGAAAAAAGTAAAAAAACAGTGAGAAGGTACATAGCTGGACCCTGGTCACAGTTTATCAGTATAAAAATTGGAGGAATTTTTAACAATACAATTTCGCCATTTGGTGAGATTTACGTAAATCACACCCCACTTTATGTACTCCTGTCAATATTGAGAGTTGGAGTTGACCACACTTACAGTTCAACAGTCCATAATAATAATAATTTAGTAAATAAGTTCTATATCAATGATACTGGTGTGATATCAAAAAAATTAAAATGAAGCCAGATAAGGAGAGAATTTGGTAGGAGCTCTATTACGATATTGTAATCATGTATCTGGACATAGCGCAGATAGCCCAATGTGTAACTTTGTGCTTAACAGCAACAAAACCAGTAATGTATCACTTATAAAGGCTAAAATTTCTGTTATATAAGAGATAAAGGACTACACGCTGGTTACTTAACTACTTTGTTTACTTTCCTTTCCCGGTATGTCATTAACACCATATCGCTCTCTTATCTTTTATCGTTCCTACATGAACATAAGTTACTTAGATTTCCATTATTTTCTCGCTTTATGTTGGTATTCTTTGTTAGATTCAAATGCACTGAAAATCGTCGCCTCTTGTGGAACAATTCTATTAAACAGTCAACTTATTATTGATAAACTAGATGGTTTGTTTGTTTGTTTGTTATGGATTTCGCGCAAAGCGACACGAGGGCTATCTGCGCTACCGTCCATAAGTTAGCAGTGTAAGACTAGAGGGAAGGCAGCTAGTCATCACCACACACCGCCAACTCTTAGACAACTCTTTTACCAACGAATAGGGGGATTGACCGTCACTTTATCCCAAGTATTTCATGCAGTTCACCTTCCCATGTAAACTCTCTGTAATACTTATAATAAATAGGGACAACAATATTACTTATATGAATTAATGTATATTAAATTTAATAACAATGTACTAAATAAGCATTTACTTATTATCTCTAATGTAACTCCCTCACTGAACACTTATAACGATAAAATCCAGGTTTCGATACCTGTGGTTGGCACAGCACAGATAGCCCATTGTGCCACTTTGTTCTTAACAACAAGCAAAAATTAACGTAAATATTGATATATATTTCACACACACTCACGAAACACTTAAGATACAGCTAATTACAAATACTGCGCGTTATAAGATGCTTATATATATCTTAAGCATCATCAGCACAGATGTAAAAAAACGCACAGCTTCACACTTTATAATAATAATAAAACATCCATTCCTAACTTTGTAGTTAAATGAACTGTTTTTCCAATCTCTTGGGCGAAGCGTGGCCCTGTGGTTAGTGCGATGGACTATGGATTTATTGGTCCATCAGTCGAGTTCCGTTAAAGGCGAAAAACACCGCGTTTTGGGGCCGTGACAAACCCAAAAGAGTGACGGTCAAATCCCACTATTCGATCAGACACGAGTAGTCCAGGTGTTGACAGTGGGTGTTGTTGACTAGCTGCCTTCCCTCTGATCTATCATTTGAAAATTAGGAACGGCTTGCCACTTTGCTCGAAATCCAACAAAACAAACCTAGTTAATTATATGTAAAGGATAACTACACTTATTGATCAAAAACAAAGTAATCTACATATAAATGTTCAACTGAAATCATACAATGAAAATTAAAAACAAAAGTAAGTCCATGATTTGTATTAATGATAAATGGGAATAAAAGTACAAGTCATGAAAGTATAAACTTATTCTTAAAGCTGGAAAAAGGAGGAAGAATTAAACTCAAATAAAAGAAACAAACATAACAGAAAGACGTGTTTTGATAGTGGCTCTGCAAGGGTTAAAAGGCTTAACCCTTTTCAAGAGACAACTCGATGTAAATCTATTTTTATGGTACTTGTTTGTTCATCTTTTAAAAATGGTTATCCGCAAAAATATTCAACGTGTCTAATACCTTTATTTCTAGCTTAACATGTTTTATAATTTTCACTTATTTATATTTGAGTTGTACTTTATAGAGTGAGTTACCGTTTAATTTCATCGACCCATTCGAAA